TGGGACCATCAATTGCTAAAACAAGGGTCAGCAAACATCTGAGAAGGGCCAGGGTGCAAATGCTTTTGACTTTCATGGGCCACATAGTCTCTGTACAGCCACTCACCTTAGCCTTGGTTACTTCAAAATCACTTAGACATCCTGTAAACAAGATTATTCCAGTAAGAGATGTGACCCTGGCCACTGTCTCAAATCTGCTTAAGCCTCATGTCCTGCTGCATTGACCGCCGGACACGTAGTCAGCTCACTTACCAGGAACTTTCTACTTGACAGACATCACGATTTTTGCTTCATCGAGTCTGGGAGGTAGGTGTGTGGTTATTACCCTGGGCACACGGTCCCAAGGTCACCTGGTGGGTGGGGGATGCTGGACATGAACCTGAGGTCTGTGGCTCACCTCTCTCCCCCTTCTGCTCCTTCAGGCCTACAGCCATTGTCCTCTTTTCACTCTGGTCAAGGTGGGGGCTTTGCCTACAGCCCCTAGGGACTGACATTCAACTCAGGGCCAGGACCACACACTCAATCACTGGAAGCTGGTGCTCAGACTCACACCAACACCATGCCAGACCTGCCTTGGAGTCTCCTTAGAGACTTCCCTGGGGTTGCTTTCCAAAGTTCATTCTTTTCTCCCACCCTCCATGGGATCCAAGGGCAGACTTGCTTTGTGGGGAGGGCCAAGAGGCAACTGATGGTGTTGCTTCAGAGAAGTGGGAAGGGGCTGAGAAAGTCATGAGAACTGTTTTCTTTTTTTTTCTTTTTTGTGGTGGTACCAGGGTTTGAACTCAGGGCCTTGAGCTTGCTTAGGCAGACACTCTACCTCTTTTGCCCAGAGCTGACCTGGGACTGAAGTTCTGCTTACACCTTTTGTGTAGTTGGGATGACAGGTACATGCCACCACACCTGACTTGTTGACTGAGAGGGGTCTCTCTAACTTTTTGCTTGGGCTGGCCTCAAAACACAGTCCTCTCAGTTTCCATCTCCAGAGTAGCTGGAATTACAGGCAAGAGTTCATGCCTGGCCATTGTGGTGGGTTTTGAACTGACTCTGGAGGCACCGCTTGAGAGGCATTCTCAAATGTTTTAAATAAGATAGCCTTAAAAAAAAACAAGAAACAGGTGCCTCTGCCCCAGGGGCAATGGAACCATTCCAAAGGACATAAATTTCTCCATGTGTGGAAGTCCAATTCTTATCTGAAAATGAGGTCATTTTGATTGATGTAATAGGATGGACTTACTCTTGACCTGGAGAACTTTGTACCTAGGAGCAGTTGCAGAACCTAAGTCAGACCACAGACTTTTGGGTCAGGGCTGTGCAATTTCAAAGGATCAGAACTGTGGACCGAGCCTCTTAGTTACACCACAGTCTGATCTGCTTGCATATACCCTGGGTGTGTGGGATCAGTGTCACCCTTTTCTCCCTCCCCTGCTTCCAACACCAGGTCCCTTGTTCTGGAAGAGTCTTCCTGATGTGCACAGAACCTTTGGAGGTGCAGGTGCTCCATCTACATGAAGGACAACAGGTCCTGGAAAGCCAAATGCCTGGGCTCGAGTCCAGCTGTGCTGGTGGCAACCTACAGTCCTGTGGTAAGCACTGGCTTGCTGGGGTTGGGTTTCCATGTCTGTGAGATGGTGAGTAGTTTGGGTTGGAACCTGAAGGTCTCTAAGTTCTACAGTCCCATCTGTTTGCATATGTCCCCTAAAGGCTCATATGTTTAAAGTCTGGTCCCCAGCTGGGGGCACAGTTGAGAGGTGAGTGATCACGAGGATGCTGACCTCGTCAGTGGATGAGTCCATCAGTGGTCCACTGGTGAATGGCCATTAGGAGAGGGGCTTGGTTGGAGGAATGAGCCACCAGATTGTGACTCTGAAGGGTGTATTTTGTCCCCAGGCTCCTCCCTCCCTCTCCATCTCCCTCTCTCTCTCCCTCTCTCTGTCTCTCTGCTTCCTGGCTGTCATGAGGCGAGCGGCTTCCTTCTGCATGATGGTCTGCCTCACCACAAGCCCAGAAATAACTGAGTCAAGTGACCATGGACCTCTGAAACGTGAGTCAAAATAAATCTTTCCTTTAAATTCTTCTTAGGTGTGTCGTCACCACAACGGAAAGCTGACCAACACACCAACTTTCTTTTATGCCTTGTCATTTTGGTAAAACTATGCCTATGGCAGGAAGCTGGAAAAAGCATGCATTTTAAGATTATACTGCTCAGTATTTTTTTTGCTCAATTATACAAACCAGGTGACTCGTACAAAGTGGTAAGATTTTCCTGTGCAGATACCACAATTTTTTTCTCTCTCTTTTTTAATTTTCAAGAGGTCAAATCAGCCAGATGCCAGTGGCTCACACCTGTAATCCTAGCTACTCAGGAGGTTGAGATTGAGAGGATCCAGGTTCGAAGCCAGCCCAGGCTCATAGTTCTTGAGACCCTATCTTGAAAATACCCAACACACAAGCATGCACACACACAAACACACGTACACACACACCACCAGGGCTGGAGGAGTGGCTCAAGTGGTAGAGTGTCTGCCTAGCAAGCATGAGGCCCTGAGTTCAAACCCCAGTAATGCCACAAAAAAAAAGTGACGTTAACATTTTTCCTTTTAAATTAAGGTATAACATGTAAATATCAAATAGTGCTATGGGGTTAAAACTAACACCAGCAGTTATATCATTGGTATAACATTTGCCTTTTTTAGTTATACGGGCTTTTTTTTTTCTGAAGTTAATAATGGCCTAGGTGTTGTACATCTTCCAATGTGCCTTTCCATCCAGACTTCCATGTGGCCAGACTTTGTTGGCCTTCTGTTTTTCCTTTCAATCTGAAGACTCATGTCTTCAGTTATGGGGAGAAGGGGAAGCTTCTGGAATTACATCTTTGACAATTTTATTCACTTGTCTTCTCAGTACTCTCTCTGGAGCTCCTCTTTGTTAGATGTTGGACTTCCTGAATTCATTATGTAACTTTTTAATAAAAAAAAGCCCTCAAGTCTTCTATTGGACATGTCTTTGCTCTTCATTCTGTTCTCTGGGAACTTCCTCAAATTTTTACCCCAATGCTTCTTTGACTCACCTATTTTAACTTGCAAACATTCATGTTTTCTCATAATTCCTTCTGATTTCATGGTGAACACCCCTTCGTGTCTCTGAGACATTAATGATAGATTCTTTGAAGTTTTCTCCATCTGCACTGCTTGTCTGTCATGATGTCAGGTTTACTCTATAAAACACACATGGTTTTATTGCATGGTTCCCGTGGGCAGGAATCTGGTTGGGCCTCACTGGGTGGCTCTGGTTCAGGGTCTCATGAATTTGCTGTCAGTGTGTCAGCCAGGCTTGACTGGGACAAGGGATTGGCTTCCAAGCTCAGTTACCTGGTAGTTGGCAGGAGGTCTCCATTCTCACCACGTGAGCCTCTCCATATGGCAGTTGGCTTCCCTTGGAGAAAATGATGGGGAGAAGGGTGAGGAGAAAGAGAGAAGGAACTAGGATGGAAGCTACATTCCCTCTGGCAACCTGGTGTCAGAGTGACAGATAACCCTGTCTTGTTCTCTTGGTCACAGGGATGGTCCAGGGAAGGACCCCACAAGGCAAGAATACTGCAAGGCAGCCATCTTGGACTGACCACATGGTATCGCTTTGTTTGTTGTTTGTGCCGGAGGCTTTCCTCAGATATCTGGTCATATGTCTGTCCCTTGTGTTCAAGAGGTAGAGTCAGGCTGAATGGAGGCTGTGTGTGGACCTCGGTGAGGAGCAGGTAGACTGTCTCTGTTTGGGAAATCCTCAAATCCTGAGACAGGGATGTGGGAGGTGAAGGACGCATCGGTGACACCAGGCTCATATGTAGCAGGTGTGGTCCTGAGGGGCCGCACACCTCCAAATCACCCACATGGAGGCCATGGAGTGGGGTGTTTTAGACCCAAATGTATCAGCTGAACCACTGCTTGAGGGTAAATGCCAGGACCCTTCCACATGCCACCAGTGGGAGGAGCAGGGTTCTGCGGCAGGAGAGCCATGTCACTGTTGGAGTGCAGGGGGCAGACAAGGGTCCTGACAGTGACCACGGACTCTGCAGAGGTGCAGGGTGACATCTGCTTTTCCCACATGACACTATTTGCAGGACAGCTTCCAGTCTCTGTAGACTCTGTATGCAGCCCAGCACTGTTACCTCCCCACCCACTGCACCCACTCCAGCTCCACCTCCAGAATTGCACCTCAGATCTGCTATGCACCTCCAGCTCCCACTGTACCACTGCAGAGGGTGAGGGGACACCTGCCAGGTGTCAGGGAAGGATATGCTGACCCGGGTGGTTGGGGTGGATGGGGCTGGCGAGGAGCCAGAGTGGATGAATCCAAGGCCACCAGGCACCAGTCTGTGCAGCGTCCATCAGCCCCTGTCTGCAGGAGGCAGGGCACTCCCTCTTCTCCTTCTCTTTCCTCTTCCTCTTCTTCCTCTTCCTCCTTCCTCTTCCTCCTTAATCTTCCTCCTCCTTCCTCTTCCTTCCTCTTTTCCTCCTCCTCCTCTTTAATATTCCTCCTCCTTCTTCTCCTCCTCCTCCTTTCTCTTCCTCCTTCCTCTGCCTTCTTCTTCCTCCTTCCTTTCCTCTTCCTTTTTCTCCTCCTTCTCCTTCTCCTCCTCCTCCCTCCTCCTCCCCCTCCTCCTCCTCCCTCCTCCTCCTCCCTTCTCCTTCTCCTCCTTCTTCTTC